TTAAATATTAATATATAAAAAATATTTTTTTATATATAATCAGTATATGTTTTTATATATTGGCTAACAGATGCCATTATTTGTGGCTGACTTGCCCTAAACATTTTCACCAACGAAATGTCAATTGCGAGGTGAAGGCAACTCTTATTTTGCTAGTTGAAAGTTGGAAATTTTACCTCCTATAGCAAATTATTACACCATATTTATTATAAATCAAAACAATCAAAATATTATTACTTATAGCTACCTTCTTTATTTTATAGCAAAATAGATATTTATTTTATACGCTATCATTGAGGCATGAAATACGCCAATTATGTTCTCTCTCTTCCTTCTCTCTATTAGCAAGATTCTAATCTTATCTCTTCTCCATCAAATCAACAGAATCGTCGGCGTCATCATTGTGTTCATCGTAGAATCGTCGTCGGCGTCAGAATCTTCAGCAGCGTCATCCACTATTGGCTCATCCTCTTAGGCGAACATATCTGGCCATGGCTACGCCAGAGAAGATTTGAGGTCGGATTTTTGTTCGTCTCCATTTTTAGTTTTAATACAATGTATATATTATTTTTCTTGGCCGGAAAACACCGTCTCCGACGAACTTTCTTCTCTTCTTTGTTATTTAGTCACATACAATGATATAAATATATTATATTCTATACAAATACACTCAAATATATTGTATTTTTATATAAAACACTGCTTTTTTTGCATGTATTTATGTATTCCGAAGGTCTGTATTTTTTAAGTACAACTAAATGTCACTGTGTTTTTTTTTGTAATTTTTTGTTATTTGAATAGAGTCAAATTAAATACGGTAAATTGAATACAATGTATAATAGTGAATAATAAATATCTTTGAATTGAATACAATGTATATAGTCGAATTGGGTATTACAACATACACCCTATTTCTTGATTTTGTTGTTTGAATATAACTGAATTCAATATAGTAAAATTGAATACAATTCAATATTGCGCTTTCCGTTATTAAACACCCGTAATCACTATTTTTAGGAGGATTACCTTACTATATTTATAAATACATTCGTGCGAATACATGAAATATAAAATTAAACAGCTGTAATCCCTGTTTTTTAGGCGGATTACCTCACTGTATTTATAAATACAGTCGCGGGAATACATGAAATAAAAAATTAGACAGCTATAATCCCTACTTTTTAGGTGGATTACCCCACTGTATTTATAAATATAGTCGCATGAATACATGGAATACATCACAGTAGAAATAAAATTATGTAGAAGTGATTTTGTTGAGTTATATTAGGAGTGATACATGCTAATTGATCCTCTTTATGTTATTAAACAGCTGGATTCCCCTACTTTTAGGCGACATGTAACAACTAAATAGTAGCTATATGAAGTAATTATGTATATGGTAGCTATAGAAAGTTAACAACTACTAAACAATAGCGGTATCTGAAAATTCCTTTTGAAATATTTCAAGGCGAATAAAGATCATTTATGATTCATCCGGTTAGGCCCAATCTATTGAAGGCAAGTTTTGAATCTTGCAGTTAGATTTTTGGCACAAATTAGCTAAATTGTTACATTTAAAATTGCAAAAAGGTAATTATTATTAGTCAAGACCTTACTTTGTGAGATTACATTAAATTTATTATTGTTGTTATAAGTGTCATTAGTCATGCTTCTTAAGTAGTTATCGCAAATGCTCCTTCGTGGTGTACTAAAATCAGATTTAAGTTATACTCAACGATTATAAAAGAAAATTACATTATCAATGTTCTTAACATGTTATAGCAGGTTAGTTTCTAGTTCTATTAATTTACCAATTAATGCTTATAATATGAAGTTACCTCTAATTTCCTAATAAGTGATAGGAGTGTATGGGCCAAAATCTGCCTTAAAGAATTTAGCTTGAAGCGACATTAAGAAAAGGGTCGGTCGAGGGCGGCCATGAAGAATCAAGGTTCGTGACTGAGGAGCCAACCAAAGCCGAAATCGATTGTTGCGTAAATAGATGTAACAATCGTTATTTGAAATAATGACATTGATGAGAATATTCCATTAGATATTCTTTTTACTTGTACTATTAGGGTTGTTTGGGATATGTCTGGTATAAAGAGAAAAAGAAATAAGGGGATAAGACATGTAATATTCAAAAAACATTTTTTGAAGAAGCTTCTCTCTCTGTAGAAAAGATACAAACTCTACCTTTTCATCAAGATTCTTGCTCACATTATTCTAGACTTTTCCATCAAATCTGAGAATAGTTCAAATATTCTAGGTTTTGTCTATCTTTTATCATGTCAGAAGGAAAGATCATCCACTTCATTTATTATTGGGTAAATTATTCTCCTTATTTATATAAATGGTATTTATTGCTTGACATTCCTCTATTATTGCTCACATCCTTTGGAATATTAAAGGTGCATTGCTTTCGGTTCCCACCAACTTTATCCCACGTTATCTGTGCTATCAAGTTTTGAATCTGGAGATATTGTTACTAACTAGGTCTAACCCTTCATTACATAAAATTTAATAGTTTAGCCAAAAGTCCCCATTTTTTGGTCAAACAATTTGGTGCCGTCTGTGGGGATCTCCTAGTTAAATTTTTAGTTTCCTCTAGATCTATAACTAGCACGGATTGCTAACTAAAAAAAGAACAAAATTCCTTTTCCTAGTATGCACAGATCTGATATGGTAGGTAACGGAGAAGAAAGAACGAGGGTAATAGGTGACCTCACCACCAACCTCTTGAACACCATCAACGAGGTTTCTGAAACAGAGGGTGAGGATATAATGCCTAATGCCTCTCTCGGGCGAGGCAGATAACCTCCTCCTCACAACAGTATCTCAACATCCCGAGGTAAAGGAGATCCCACGTCCGCTATGGAAGAGACACCGCCAACATTAAAAAAGCTCTTCGAGGCTTGGCTAACCGACGGGCTAACCATCATTTTCAACAAGCCCACTCAAGATACAATTATAAAAAATGCAAGGACCTGCGTTATACCAACAACAACTGAGTGGTATGGCCCGTTCCCTCCTCTGATAACAGGTATTACTCACAACATCGTTAATAGTGCAAGCGACGACACCCTCACAACCATTTCCAGAAAGATGGAAGAGACGGAGAACAAAGCACTTCGGGACCAAATGAAAGAACACCAAGAAAGGGTCGACAAAATAGTAGGTGCCCCGTAGCTCCTGCTGAAGAGAGACACTGGTCGGTTCGTCGAGCAACCATACAATGACGAAGCTACTCCGCATGCCATACCAAAAACCTTTAAAATGCTTCCCTATTTAAAAATATATAATGGTACAACCGACATTACGAACATTTTCTCTCGATGTGGACCAAGCTCCGACTTCCGTTTTAGCTTTGGCTCGAAAGAGGTCGGCTTTTGAGCCCGTATTGGAAGGGGATCTTGTTTTTTTATTATAAAAAAAACCCCAGGATACCGAAGACCTTGTAACTCACTATGTCACCACTATGAAAGGCAATGACCTCGCCAAGGAACAAGTATCCTCCATTTTGTTGAAAAGTTTCGGCAAGACCCTTACTTGAGGAGCATTAACATGGTATTCATAGCTGCCCATGTGCTCAATTGAAACATTCGAAGAGATGGCCGACAAGTTCGTAACGGCCCATGCTTGGGCCAAAAAGACAAAGGCGAGAATGAACGATATATTCGCGATCAAACAACCAGCGGAGAGGGAATGAGGGACTTCCTCGCCCGATTCAATCGAGTAAGAATGACCTTACCAAATGTATCGGAAGGAATGGTCGTCACAACTAGGGTTGTGCATAATTTGGTAAATACCGAATTACCATACCAAAATCGAAAATTTTGATATTTGTTATACAGTATTTTGGTATTTGGTATGGTATTTGATTTAAGTTTTTTAAAAAAATTGGTATTAGATATTTTAAAATAAAAATACTGAAATACTGATACCGTACCATACCGAAATATATATTATATTACATAAAACACATATTATCAATTATAACATAAATATAAAAAATCCAAAATTTTACTTTCCTTTATTCTCTAAGTTCATCAATTAACTCTAAATAAGTAACAAGATATTTCTAATGAGCAAATATTCTTTTATGTACAATTTTCTCTATTTGGGTCAATATTTGCTAGTTTAGGACAAAACATTTGTCAACAAACATTTTTAGTTTTGTATTTTTGAGTACTTTAATTAAGAATATTAGAGTCTATGGCGCTATGCACTAGTTAGTATTCAAACTGAATAAATCGAAGTTACCCAATTGAATAAACCAAAACCGAAAGGAGAAAAACCGAACCATACCGAATTTAATTAGGTACGGAATTGGTATAGGATTTTAAAAAACTGAATACCGAAGATACCGAACTGAAATATCTAAATACCATACCAAACCAACCAACGAACAACCCTAGTCACAACTTTCTAGAACGGGCTGAGCTGGAATGGTTCAAGGGCGGCGAGAAAGTTATTGACTCAGCTTATAAAATACCCTCCAACTACTTGGGATGAAATACATAATGTCTACTGTGCCAAGGCCCGAGCAGACGAGGACGACCTGAATGGTCCAACTCATTGATTGACCTCGGTACAAGCCAAATCCAGGAAAGATCAAAGAAACGATATCAAGATGGACCTCGTAGCTCCACGATCTAACCGAGAACGACATCAGCCTTATGTTAGAAGTGCCATCGCGCCCCTCCCACCATGAAGAGGGCCCACCTAGATCGAAGACAGGGACTCATCGGAATGAGAGAGATATTCCCCCTTTATTATCCACTCACAATTTTTGTGTGTCACCTTTAGAAATAGTCTACGCATTGGAGAAGCTCAGACCAAAGGTAAAGTGGCCGCAAAAGATGAGGTCAAATCCAAGCACCAGAAAGTCAGACGCCCTTTGCGAGTTCTACCAATAGCGAGGTCACAAAACCGAGGACTGCATCGCCCTAAAATAGGAGGTCGTAAACATACTTCAGCAAGGACATCTCAAAGAATTGATGAGCGACCAGAGAAAGACCAACTTTGCCAGAGGACGCGAACACCATCAGGGACCGCCGAAACTGCCCTCACCAACCCGCACCATCCAAATGATCATCGGTGGTGGCGACGATGCTTCTATCAACAGCATGAAGTTCACCACAACCCAAAAGCTCAAACGATCGATCACTCACGAACGATATGACAAACTCGAAAAGGGTATCAACTTCGATAAGTCAGATACCCACGGTTTGGTTTTCCCTTACTATGATGCCCTTGTTATTACTTTACAAATATTAGATATAGATGTGAGACGTATTATGGTAGAATATGGGAGCGGCACATGTATTATCCACCCTCGGGTACTTGCACAAATGAAACTCGAGGATAGGATAGTGCCGTGTTGCATCACGCTAACAACTTTTAACAATGCAGTTGAACGAATATCTGGAGAAATCACATTCCTCATCCTGGCCGCCGGCGTAACTCTAGAAACCACATTCTATATCATGGACTAGGACACGACATACAATGCCATAATAGGGCGACCATGGATATACACCATGAAAGCCGTCCCCTCCAGCCTATACCAAGTCATCAAATTTCCAACTCTATGGGGGAATATTTAGCATACGAAGGAAATAACGCACATCTTAGGAATGCTACTGCATCACTCTGGATTGTACGATCACTCAACAAATGAAGGGCAAAGCAAAAGAGGCATAACAATTAGCAGGGCCGAGGTCGATGTGTAATGAGAAGGAGGATGTCATTAGAGACCTTGATACGATCGAAGCTGCAGAATCAACCATAGAATACCTTGACCTAGTTCAACTAGATGGCAACGACCAGATCAAGAAAGCTTGTATCGCCTGCAAGCTTCAAGAACTAGGTAAATTCCATTAGTTCTTAACTACTAATGCGAACTTGTTTGCGTTTAGCCATACAGATATGCCAGGTATCCTGAAGGAGATCGCTACACACAAGTTGAACGTCGACCCATTCCACCCCCGATAAGGTAGGGTAGGCAGAAGTTCAACTCCGCGATAAACGATACAGTACGCGATGAGGTCAAAAAATTATTGGAAAATGGCTCCGTCAAGGAGTCAAAATACCCCCAATGGGTCGCCAATGTGGTCATGGTGAAAAAGAAAAACAAGAAGTGGCAAATGTGCATAGACTTTACAGATCTAAATAAAGCATGCCCCAAAGATTCATTTCCATTACCTCATATCGACCAACTCATTGACGCAACAACCGGGCACGAACTGCTAAGTTTTTTGGATGCCTACTCGGGCTACAATCAGATCCTCATGGAAGAGGAAGATAAGGAGAAAACCACTTTCATCACCCACCAAGGAACATACTGCTACAGAGTTATACCTTTCGGATTAAAAAACACAGGGGAAACGTACAAAAGGTTGGTGGCAAAAACGTTCAAGGACCAAATTGGAAAGATGATGAAAGTCTACATAGATGACATGTTAGTCAAGTCCAAAAGGAAAGAAGAACATATCGACCACTTGATAAAAGCCTTCGACATACTCGGGCGATATGAAACGAAACTAAATCTAAAAAAATGTGCATTCGGCGTGGCTTCAAGAAAATTCTGGGGTTTCCTAGTGTCATAGCGAGGCATCGAGGTTAACCCCAACCAAATCAAAGCCATCGAAGGGATACCAGACCACTGGACCACCAAAAAAAAGTTCAAAGGTTGACCGCCCATATTAATGCCCTTTCGAGGTTCATTTCACGGTCATCTGATAGGTTCCACAAATCCTTCAGTGTACTCAAAAAGGATAACGACCTCCAATGGACCTCTAACTACATCCAAGACCTGAAGAAGTTAAAGGCTTACTTGTCGTTGCCACCATTGCTTTCAAAATCGGAACCCAGATATTGCCTCCCCATCTACCTCGTTGTATCTAAAGTAGTTGTGAGTGCAGTCTTTGTCCGAGAAAATAAAGGTACGCTATCTCCCATCTATTACATTAGCAAAACCTAGCTAACGCCGAGACGAGGTACCCTCACCTCAAAAAATTAGCCTCGGCCTTGGTCGTAGCTTCACGAAAGCTTAGACCCTACTTCTAGTGCCACCCAATCTCGGTAGTCATGACTTTTCCCTTAAGAAGTATCTTGCATAAACCCGATCTATTGGGCAGTTAGCCAAATGGGCCATAGAATTAAGCGAGCATAATATCGCATATCAACCACGAACGACGATAAAGTCGCAGGTCCTTACCGACTTCGTCGCCGACTTCAGCACTAAAATAATGGCCGAAGTCGAAAAATAAGCCGCCCACGCTTCTTCCCAACACAGGACCTCTGCATTTTGTACACCGCTGGCGCTTCTAACACGTCAGGGTCCGAACTGGGACTTGTACGGGCAGATTACTACTAGCCTACCATGAAAAAAGAGGCCACAGACTTTGTAAAAAAATGCGAATAGTGGCAAAAGTACGCCCCAATAAGGCGAGCACCTCCACTCAGTCACTTCCCCTTGGCCATTCATCAAGTGGGGAATGGACATCGCTGTCCCCCTCCTCATAGGGCGAGGTAACGTACGATTTCTTTTTGTTTTAACCGACTATTTTTCTAAATGGGTAGAAGCAGGAGCATTCGCCCATATACGCGAATAGGAAGTGATCGCCTTTATATGGAAAAACATCGTATGCCATTTCGGTCTCCCCAAAAAGATCAGTTGCGACAACGGACCCTAATTTACATGAAAAAAAGTTGCAAATGTTTTTGAGAAATGACATATCAAAAGAATACTCTCAACACTGTTCACCCCGCGGGAAATGGGAAAGCGGAGTCCTCCAACAAATCAATGCTGAACATCATGAAGAAAAAGCTCGAATACGCCAAGGGACTATGGTCAGAGTTACTACCAAAAGTACTTTGGGCCTACCGGACAATGCCAAAGACAAGCACATGAGAGACGCCCTACTCATTAGTCTATGGGATTGATGCTGTAATACTTGTCGAAGTCGGAGAGCCTAGTCTAAGATACTCTCACGAGAGGTCAGGGAACGATGAAAGTAGAAGGCAGGAGCTCAACGAAGCCGAGGAACGAAGGGGTATGGCCTACATAAGGATGATTGCCCAAAAACAACAGGCAGAATGCTATTACAACAAAAAGGCAAAGTTTAGACCATTTAAAATTAGGGACTACGTACTCAAAGCTAAAACACAAGCAAGCAAAGACTCACGAAGAGGCAAATTGGGAACAAATTGGGATGGCCCATACAAAATCACGACAATAGCAAACAAAGGGTCATTCCAACTAGAAACAATAAAAGGAAAAATACTACCAAACAATTAGAATGTCACCCACCTCAATTACTTCAACTTTTAAGAAAAAGTGTTCTCCAAGCCGTACTCTTTTTTCCCTCAGTTGAGTTTTGTCCCAATTAGGTTTTCTCAAGGAGGTTTTTAACGAGGCGACGAGGGGGACACTTCAAGTAGAAGTGCGAACAGACAGAGACACCGGACGGATAGTTCATTGCTCAACCTCTCAATATACTCCTCTAAGTCAACCAATGAAGGGACTGGATAGACTGGGACTGGAACACCGGCCAACACTAGATAGACTGGGACTGGAATGTCAGCCCAAAAAATATGTAAATTTTCCCAAGTGTATGAACAAAGCACAAATACATGAAGTTCACCCATGTTTTCACCAAACACATAGCCAAAGCAATGTTGCCTCAATGCCTACTCGAACTTCGACCATAACTAGAAATAGGTTACATTCGACCTCGCTCGAATTAACGCCAATCCGGCCCTCGACCATAACTAAAAATAGGTTACATTCGACCTCGCTCGAATTAACACCTATTCGGACCTCGACCATAACTAAATAAATAGGTTACATTCGACCTCACTCAAATTAACACCTAGTCGGTCCTCAGCCATAATTTAAAACTCGGTTACATTCAACCTTGCTCGAATTAACACCTATTTGACCCTCGGTCATAACTAAAAATAGGTTACATTCGACCTCGCTCGAATTAATACCTAGTCGGCCCTCGACCATAATTTAAAACTAGGTTACAATCGACCTTGCTCGAATTAACACCTATTCGACTCGCGGCCATAACCTAAAACTAGATTATATTCGACCTTGCTCGAATTAACACTTATTCGGCTCGTGGCCATAACTTAAAACTAGGTTACATTCGACCTCGTTCGAATTATCGCCTATTCGGACCACGACCATAACTCAACGCGGATTATATTCGACCTTATTCAAATTAAAACCTAATCGGCCTTCGGCCATAACTACTTGAATTAAATTTTTATGGTTAAGGCAACCTAGAAACAAAAAAAATGCATACAAGCTCATAGAAAAGAAAACAAAAGCAGGTACGAGCAATAGAACTGGCATTTCATACTTAGAATTTTTTTTACAAAGGCTTGAAAGACGCCCACAAAAAAATATATACATAAGTCTACAAACGAAAAGAAGGAAAAACAACTAATCTCCGCCACCACCATCACCATCAGGATACTCATCCTCGTACTAGGAGTCCTGTTCAATTCGATCCACGCCCACATCCTCTTCGTCATCACTAGCCTCTGGTATAGCGGGGTCATAACCATAAGCAATCTGAATTGCACGGGCCTTAGCACAAGCATCCTCGAAGTCGGCCAATAAAACTATCCCCGCCCCTATCAGATCTCTAAATATATCCAGTTGGGCCTCACCATGGATCCACTTCTCCTACAGATCCCGTGGAACGTCAGGAGAAGCCAAAGTGCGAGAAGAAGTTGGCTGAGCTAATAACTGTGCCATCTCAGCCTCGAGAGCGGCAACTTGATCACCAAGGTCCGAAACCTCTTTTTCTAGTTCCCCTATCCACTCATCAAGCCGCTCTTCTCTGAGCCTGGCCGTCTCCAGGGCACTTGTCGCGCCCCCTTTTTCCTCGCGTAGTTCGGATTTTGACATTTTAGGACAACTCCCGGCCAAACTCAATTTAAGTGAATTAGTCTTATACGGGAATAAAGAAATTTAAACAAACAAATATTACTTTTAAAACAAAGAGTAAAAGGGGTCCTGGATTTTTTAGCCTATAGGATTACTTCTGTGCAATACTTGGTAATCGTCCCCAAGTAGGGGTGCTACACCATAGCATTAGTTCTCAGGATATAACAATAGACCCCCCAACATTTACTAATAAGCCCATATCTATTTATTACAGAGATTATTACAGTCCGGAATGAATAATTACATAACAGGATCTATTACACTATAGGGAGACTTAGCAGGCCCACTATAAATATGTAAGCCAGGCCTTCAGCACAACAGTCTCGAAATAGTAGCATAGATCCATTCATAGCATATTAAACCAAACTTCTAGTGTGTCAAAGTTCCCAGAGGGCCTCAGGGACCCCGGTAAATGCTCACTCTAGAGCCACGTATTCAACACAGAATTCAAAAAAGGTTGGCAAACCAGCTCCAATGTGTCAGAGTTTAAAGGAGTCTCAGGGACCCAAGTGCTCACACTGGGGGTGG